AATTGACTCAAAACGGATAAAGATCTAAATGTAAGAACTACAACTATAGAATTCTTAGAAGAAAGCATAGAGTTAAATCTTAATGACCTTGGGTCTGGCAATATAGTCTTAGAAATGATACTAAAAGAATAAGCAATAAAAGAAAAAAATAGATAAATTGGACTTTATCAAAGTTAAAAACTTTTGTGCAACAAAGAACACTATGAAGAAAGTGAAAAGACAGCCTATGGAATGGGAGAAAATATTCACAGGTCATATATCTCATAAGGTTCTATATCCAGAATATATAAAGAATGCTTACAACTCAACAACAAAAAGACAAACAACCCAATTTAAAAAGGGGGCAAAGGACTTGAATAGACATTTCTCCAAATGGCCAACATGCACATGAAAAGATGCTCAGCGTCATTAGTCATTAGGGAAATACAAATCAAAACCTCAATGAGATACCTAGGATAGTTACTAATTTAAAAAAAAGCAGGAAACAATGTGTTGCAGAAGATGTAGAGAAATTGGAACCTTTATACATTGCTGGTGGGAAGGGAAAATGGAGTAGCCACTGTGGAAAACAGTTTTGCTGTTACTCAATAACTTAAACATAGAATTACTATATGACCCACTCCTAGGTATATAGCCAAAAGAAATGAAAACATGTGTTCAAATAAAAGGAATGCCATAGATGTTCATAGCAGCACTGTTCATATTAGTCAAAGGACAGAAATAGCCCAAATATCCATTAACAGATGAATTAATAAATGAAATGTGATATACCCATTCAATGGAATATTATTCGGCCATAGAAAGAATTGCAGTACTGACACATACTACAACATGGATGAACCTTGAAAATATTATGCTAAGTAGAAGAAGCCAGAACCACATATCATATGATTTCATTTATAGAAAATGTCCAGAATAGGCAAATACGCAGAGACAAAAAGCAGATTAGTGATTACTAGGGTCTAGGGGAGGGGCAAATGAGGAGTGACTTGTTTAATGAGTACAGGGTTTCCTTTTGGGGTGATAAAAATGTTCTGGAACTAAAGAATGATGATGGCCATATAGTACTGTGAATGCACTAAATGCCACTGAATTATATACTTTAAAATGATTAAAATGGTGAATTTTATGTTATGTGAATTTTCTCAGTACAAATAATGGTGCCTGGAACTTGGAGCGTAGCAGTCAGTATTACAGATATTTAAATGAGGTTTATGATAAGATTTTCCTAATGTGGAAAACACTTATGTCATGTTAGATGAGAAAAGCAGGGTGCCAAATTTTTCATACAGTATGGCTTCAGCCACATAGAAACAAGCAAAACCTGTGCACAAAAAAAAAAAGCCAAAGGAAATCTACCAAAATGTTAATGGTGGTTGTCTCTGAGTGCTGGGACTCCAGCTGACTTTGTTCTTATCTTTTCACTTTCTAGTACTTTCACTTTCCATCTAAAAAGCATATATAGTATCACTTTTATAAAGAAAAAAACACTTATTTTTAAAGTGGGGAAAACAAAAAATGTAATTTAAAATAAAAGGAAGCAAGATAGAGGTGAAGAGACATAGAGGAGACAAATCGAGAGAGAACATGCTTCAGGGGAGCATCATGTAATTTGGACTTAAAAATGGCCAGGGAACAGATGGCAGCATCCAAGCAGACATCTGCAATGGATAGTTAAATTATATGCAAAGACACAAGTGGCCTTTGAAGCAGACCCTGGAGAGGCCCATCAGAGAATACAGCTTGCCTGGCTAAACAGAAGGGCAAAGCCCCTGGACTGCTTCATCACAGCCTGGCCTCCTTCAAGCCCTTCTGGGGGCCTGGAGGCTGTAGTAGAACTCAGCACAAATGTGCTTGCATGTGTGAGGGTCCAAAAGAGGTAGTTAGAGAAAAAAAGAGGCTTCCAAGAATGACATTGGCATTTACTTGGAGCTTCACAGTCTATAAACATTGTCACATACATAACCTAAACATTAGTTAATACATCGTCTTTCTTAATGGACCTGTGAGGTAGGTAATTATTATTCCCATCTTACCATGGAGGAACGAGACACAGAGAAGAGATATGAGTTTATTTAACATTTATATAGTGCTCACTATATGCCAGACATACCCTAAAAGCTTTTGCATGTATTAATTGCTCATGTTCATGCAGCTAGTAAGGGGCAGAACTAGGGCTCAAATCTGGGTTTTTGAACTCTACTACACCACGCTTCTGCTCATATCTAAGCAGAATTAACAGATATGCCTGCAGAATCTCAAATATAGCCACAAGTGGTTCTATCTATCTATCTATCTATCTATCTATCTATCTATCTATCTATCTATCTATCTATCTATCATCTATCTATCCATCCATCCATCCATTTATCTCTATTTTTCTGAGTATAAATGTAACACATGATTGTATAAAAATGTGAATATTACTGAAATAAGTAACACAGGAAACAAAAATCTCCTTAAATCCCACGCCTAAAGGTATTCATTCTTAACTGTTTCATGTGTGTTCCTCTAGATTTTTTCTATATGTATGCTAATACACATATTTTCTCTTATTTTTAAAAATAAGATAATGTTATATCTACACTTATGTAACTCTAATTTACATAATATGAAGCCTTGAAAATCTCTCCATGACTATATAGATCTACCTTGTTTGTTTTAATATTCTGTTGTATAGAGGTAACAATTGCTTAACTAGTCACTTATTGTTAGAACATACAGATTTTCATATTTTCTCAATTATAAACAATGCTGCAATAAATGTTCTTGTACTTGCATCTTTATGTACATGTACATTTGTTTAGATTAATAAAAGTGAAATTGCTGATTTGAAAGCATATACACAATTATACAAAATTAAAATTGTCATAGATATTGGAAAATTACCCTTCAGAAAAAAGAGAGACTATATTAACTGGTACTCCCACCAGCAGTGTATCAAAGTGACTCGTTTCCCCACAGGTCCATCAAAACTTGGTATTCTGTTGAAAATGTCATTTTAAAAGGCAAATATGGTGTCTTATTGTTATTCTAACTTATATTTTGAAAATAGTGAGAAGCCATATTTTTTTATATTTCTGATTTAGTAAGTTGCTTATTCATGTCCTTTGGCAACTGATTTTATGTTAGTATATTGCATTGAGGAGAGGCCCTTGCAGATCAATAAGATTATGGTACATTCTCTTTTAAGGGACAAATAAGCCCTGGAGATTTATGGTCAGCATAAAACTCATTCTTAAATGTTGTACTTGACGTCATTTTGAAGGGCTGAACAGAAACACAATGTTGACATAATCAAAACTTGGGTTTCACTGTGATTATTGCTTTGTGGGATTAACTCCTGATTTTTTAGCCACATGAAAGATGATAATATAATCATATAAGCCAGGGACAGAAATAAGCATTTGTTCATCCACCATGGGCAGTTCAGAAATAGCTCCCTGGCAGGTGGATAGCTTGAGTTCTGGCACATAGGGGTGTGTGTGTGTGTGTGTGTGTGTGTGTGTGTGTGTGTGTGTGCACGCGCGCGCGCGCGCACGCGCGCGCACATATGTGCATGCGCACCCACACTGATGAATGTGTGTGTGTATGCAGGTATGCACTTGTTTGCTTTTAGAAGATGTTCACTGGGGGAATAGAGGGAGAGAATAATGTAGGGCTAGAAAATATCTAGAAGCTTTCATTTGGTGACATCTTCCGGAAGCAGAGAAGTAGTTATTTCCTGCCAGCCTCTATAGTGTGCTGTTATGTCTGTCAGCTTTAGAGTGGTGGTCTAATTCAGAGAGAGGTTGGAATTCTGTTTTTCCACAAAGCTTATTTTTTTAGTTTGTTTTAGGCTGTGCAGGGACTGGAATTAGGTTGATGTTCAGCAATCATGTGATATTCGCCTAATGGCCTGGGGTATGAGGTTTGTAACGGTGAGAGTATCATGATTCATCAGTAGCTTCCTATAAAACAAAGAGCATACTCAATTTAAATCTTCATAGATATTGCCAAATTGCCTACTAAAAAACAGTACCAATGTCCTTCAGCAGTATTTTGAGAGGACTTTGCATACATCATCTCAATCTTCAAACAATCTTGTAAGGTCAGTAGGTAGGGGTATTATCTGGCATAGACCATAATATGAATGTTGGCCCCTACAGTTGTGCATACATACAACACTATGGACCTGAATCCCAATTTTACTGAAGGAAACGTTGAGGCATTGAGTGGTTAAGTTACTTGCTCAAATTACACAGGTGATGAGTGTCAGAGCTAGGACTCCAACCCAGGCTGTGTGACTTCGGAGTCAATGACAACTGGGTTCATGGCTGTCTAGAGTGTCTTAAAGCTGCTGCAGCCCCTTTTGAGGAGATGGAAGGAGGATATCAGGATATACTCAGAAAAGTTCCATTCCTCCCATTTTTGAGTGCAAGCAAAAGCCCTGGCACTTTAGTATTGTCCAGCTGGTCATCCTTCAGACCCCTTTCAGTGCCTTCAGCGAGAAGCAGTCTTCAGAGACAGAGTAAATCGGGTAATTTGGCTCAGGAAAAGGCATTGGAGAAATAAATTGCTGTTGCACTGTGAATATAATAAGGCAGTTAGGTAGATGGAAATAGTTGTCTTGTGATTATATGACCGGGGATTATGTGCAGCAAATTTTAAGTCCAAACTGCCTTTTCCTTGGTCTTCCTCCACCCCACTAGCCACACACTTCTAAATGCCTCCACAAACTGTCCAGCTTGTGTGTGCTCTAAGAACACTAATCTAATTTTTTATATCAGCCCAGGCAAAATATAGTTAGGAAGAAACTCTTTTACCAAAAGGTCACACACCAATGTCAAATAGAGATGGTTTTTGTATGTCTACTATTCAGCTTATATGTACAAATATTGGCTCATGATAGTATTATATAATGTGGATTTGACTATATGGCTAAAGAAGATGACAAAATTGATTTTTTTGTCACTGAAATTTTATTTCTTTTCTCTTTCCCCTTCCCAAAATTTGGACAGATGCACTTTCACTAAAAGGAAAAAGGCTGGATTTTTATGGAAGAGCTGACACATAATGTAAGCCTGATGAATACCATTCCAGAACTCAAGCAATTCACAGCATGCATTGACCTGGTATTCATGGATGACAAATCAAGTGATTGAATGGCTTTCTCCTATATTACTAATAACACCTTCCTGGGCAGAGAAGACATAGATCTTGGACTTGCAGAAGACTATCAGCAGCTAATACTATACAACTTGGGCAAGATCTTTTATATCCCTTACCACCTCACCCCATTTCAATGGCATACAGTATGCTTGAGATGGAATGGTGTGAAGGGTAGATTAGAGCTCTTTCTAAATAAAGAAAGGATACTGGTATGATGGATCAACCACAAAACTTGACACTTAATGGGACTTTGGTTCTAGGACATTTTCTCAAGAACAGAGACAGCCAGGTTAAAAGCATGGTGCCTTGCTTCACTGGCAGCTTGTACTACTTTCAACTCTGGGACCACATCCTGGAAAATGAGCAGTTTATGAAGTGTTTGGATGGAAATGTAGTTAGTTGGGAAGAAGATGTTTGGCTTGTCAACAAGATCATTCCAACTGTTGACATGAGACTGTGCTGCTGTGAGTAATTTATGAATTGTTCTCTTTAGCAAAGGTAGCACTGATGCAGTACTCTTCTTCTCACCGCTCCAATAACCCACTCTTAGGCCAAGGCTCTGTCTTCCTCAGAGGGGCCAAGGTTGCCACAGTTTTGTCATCTACTCTTTAATGTAGAGCAAATACTAATTTATTTTGTCTTTTATTTTGATGTGATTTAAAACTTTGCAAGAATAGGACATAGAACTTCTATGTATTCTTTACTCAGATTCACCAACTGTTACATTTTCCTTATATGTTTTATGATTCTCATTCTTCCTCACTTTCTCTTTCTCTTTTACCCTTCCTAAACACACACACACACACACACACACACACACACACACACACATGCACACGCACACACACACACGCACATTTATCTGTTTCTTAATGATTGGAGAGTAAGCTGCAGGCATAATGCCTCATTACCCCTAAATATTACCCCTAAATTTCTCAGTGTATATTTCCTAAGAAAGAGGACATTCTCTTACATAACCATAGTATGATGATCAAAATCAGGAAACTTAATATTGATATAATACTAATACCTAACTCATAGTCCATATTCAAATTTAGCCAAGTATCCTAATAATTCCATTTATAGCTATTTTTTGCTTAGTCCAAGATCCAGTTCAGAATCACACATTGAATTTAGTTATCATGTCTTATTAGAGTCTAATCTGGAACAGAACCTTCATCTTTCCTTGTCTTTCATGATGTCTATTTGTCCCATTACTAGTGATAATAACTTTGATCATTCAATTCTGATGATGATTGCTAGATTCTTCCACTGTAAAGTTACTATTTTTTTCCTTTGTAATTAATAAGTAATTTCTAAGAAGATATTTGGAGGCTATGTAAACATCCCATTCTTATTAAACTTTCACCCAGTAGTTTTACACCTATTGAAGATTCTTGCTTCACTTATTACTAGGATGGCTGCAAAATGATGATTTTTAAAACTCTGTTTACTACATTTATTAGTATTCTATTGGAAATAAGAGTGTTCTCTTCTTCCACATTTACTTATTTATTTTTTCAGTTGTTTATGTGTTTATATCAGCATGAACTCATGGTTTCTTACTTTATTCAATGGGTTACAATCTGTCGCTATTATTTATTTCAGTGTTCAAATTGACCCAGATTTGCCCAGTAGAAGTTCTTCAATCTGGCTCTTGTGTCCTTTTGACATGTTCCCATCATTTTTTGAGTACTTTTTTACTTTCTAGCACAACAAGATGTTACAGGATCATATTGTACTTTCTCCGCTCAGCCCAAGAGTCAATCATTTTACCAAAGACCCCTGGTTCCTTCTAGTGGGGAATGGTATTTATAAATCAATTCAGTTTTCTTTGGGGAGCAATGATGATGTTGAAGAACTGTTTGGAATGGAATTTGTGTAAGAAAACTGGATTTTTGGAATTACACATGTATTTGTTCCCTTTGCAGTTTTGAGGAGGAAATATCAGATTGTTTTTCTTTGTACAACCCCACTGTCTCCTCAAATTCAATCTTTTCCACCCTCAGTGGCAATAGTCCTAAAGCGTGGGTAAAGTGATTGGTAACAACATCAAGAAAAGATTTTTTTTTCATTTCCTGAAATGATCACTTATTCTTTTGGGAGTATTATTTACTGTTTTTTATGAATTTGGGGTGGGGATTTAGTGAGAGAATGGGGGTTAGATCCATGCCTAATAGAGCTCTCACAGACTATGGAGATATATTTTCACCAAAGGTCTGTATGTTGTTTGAGTTAATTGCAGAGGCACATTCCACGGGGTTTCTGTGTTTCTTTGAGATCAGAATAAGCAAAGGAACAGGACAGCTATTCTTTTGAGCTACTACGTGAAGGCATTTGTTTCTTCTCTTCTCTGAAGCCTTGAAAATAAAAAGAGAATAGTCCTAGCTGGCTTCGATTACAAAAGTGAGCTAGGGACTAGTGGGTTAAGCCTGAACAACTCACCCAAAGCAGTTTAAAGTAAATTTATCTTTTTTAAAAAAAGTTTTTAACTTATTTATTTATTTATTTATCTATCAATTACAGTTGACATTCAATATTATATTAGTTTCAGGTGTACAGCATAGTGGTTAGACATTTACAGAATTTACAATGTATCCCCCAATTAGTCTAATACCCACCTGGCAACATACATAGTTATTACAATATTATTGACTATATTTCCTATGCTGTACTTTACATCCCTGTGACTATTTTGTAACTACCAATCTGTACTTCTTAATTCCTTCACCTTTTACACCCAGTCCCCAAGCCTGCTCCAATCCTACAACCATCAGTTTGCTGTCTGTATCTGTGAGTCTGTTCTGGTTTTGTTTGTTCATTCATTTTGTTCTTTAGATTCCACATATAAGTGAAATCATATGGTATTTGTCTTTCTCTATTGGAATTATTTCACTTAGTATAATACCCTCTAGGTCCATATATATTGTTGCAAATGATAATCTTTCATTCTTTTTTTTTTATAGCGAAGTAATATTCCATTGTATATATGTACCACTTCTCTATCCAATAATCTATTGGTGGGCACTTAAGTTGCTTCCATGTCCTGGTCACTATAAACAATGCTGCAATGAACATAGGAGTGCATAGATCTTTTTAAAATAGTGCTTGGAATTTCTTCGGATAAATACCCAGAAGTGGAATTTCTGAGTGATAATGTAGCTCTGTTTTAAATTTTTTGAAGAACTTCCAAACTGTTTTCCATAGTGGCTGCACCAATTTGCAATCCCATCAACAGTGTACGAGGGTTCTCTTTCTCCACATCCTCGCCACTACTTGATTTATTGATGATGGCCATTCTGAGAGGTGTGAGGTGATATCTCATTGTGGTTTAATTTCCATTTCTCTGATGAATAGTGACCTTGAGCATCTTTTCATATGTTTATTCACCATCTATATGTCCTCTTTGGACATAGACCACTTCCTTACACCATATACAAGAATAAACTCAAAATGGATTAAAGACTTAAATGTAAAACCCCAAATCATAAATCTCCTAGAAGAAAACATAGGCAATAAATTCTCTGACATTGCTCTTAGTAATATTGTTTCTGATATATCTCCTCAGACAAGGGAAACAAAAGAAAAAGTAAACATATGAGAGTATATAGAATGCCTTATGCAGGACCAGCCATATAGCACAAACATTTAAAACATGCTAATTCACACAACAAAGAAAACCGTCAACAAAACGGAAAGACACCCTATTGAATGGCAGAAGATAATTGCCAATAATAGATCTGATAAGGAGTTAATATCCAAAATTTATAAAGAACTCACACAAAAAAAAAAAACCAAAACCTAACAATCCAATTTAAAAATGAGCAGAGGACCTAAATAGACATTCCTCTAAAGAGGACATAAAGATGGTGAATAGACATACGAAAAGAGGATCATAAGCTAAAATTCCTCTCTAGGTATGTTGAACATAATTTCTTAATCTCAGCTCGGACATATGATCCAACAAAGATTTGTCCTGATTTGTGAATGTCTGAAGATGAAAAGTCTTCCTAAAGGTATGCAGATTAAATAACTCTTAGTTATACATCTGAGAAATCCCCTCTTTGAAAAGAATGAAATAACATGAATTGAGTTTATCCTGGGAAGTCTACACTATGTCAAAACACAACATCCCTGTATCTGCGGAGCTATTGATTTGTTAAAATATATTAATTGCTTTTAATTACTTTATGAACTCAACATTCTTAAAGTGTGTAGTGATTGATTACATAGTTTATGTATTTTCTAAGGCCTTTGGCCCATTATTAAGCCCTCTATCTAATTATCAGCTCTGAAAAGAAAGGTTCCATGGGAATGGGCTCTACCAGCTAAAAGGCAACTTGGTTTTGCCCTTGTAAATCAATTCTCTGTGCTATCCTCATTTTTCATCACAACAGATAAGCAGGATCTGTTTGTAGTTCATAGTTCATTCAAACCTCCTTATTTGTATTCTCTTGCACAGGATGACATTCTTCTACAGATTCAGAGATGGAAGCTCTAGCCAGTCTCTCTCCCTATCACAAGATTCCTTATTCATGTCTTTGCCTAGAAACTGAATATAGACACCACTCTGAAAAAAATGTTTTCATCATTTTAAAGATGCTCATTTCATATGTTTTCTACTCCACAGGCAGATCTGTCTGTGGTACTTTCTGGTCACCACTCTCACAAATCTAATAAACACACTTTGAATTATATTTACAGAGATTGTGATTGAAAGAAAAAACAGATGTGATATGTAGACTAGAAAAACACAAAGATTTAATATGAGGGGATATACCCAAATCACAAGCAGAATTTGGTACCTTAGAAAATATCCTACTTAATATTCTGTTGGCAGGTACATCAGCAACAAAATGCCTCATAAATATTCAGCTACTCTATACCTCTGTTCTTCAGCTTCCAATGATTGCAATAATATAATTTTGTCTAGAGCGAAGGAGCAAATGGCAATTAGGCCCACAGGCTCCCTATGAATTAGCATGGATTATCTCCCACTTTAAAATAAAGGGACAGCAAATCTCATGCAAATTATTTGTGCAAGTGATCACTTGTTCACAAATGAGAACAGAATGAATATGGCAAAACATGTTTGTGAGCCCTTCAAAGATGGAAGCCAGATCTCATGGCTTCTGTGGTCCCTCCTGTAGATATAGACATTCAGTTGTCACTCAACTATCTGTATAGTGTGGACTTTTGCATTTCCTTTTTGAAATTGAATTTTTATTGAGATAAATGTAGATTCACATGCAGCTGGAGATCCTTTGTACACTTTGCCCAGCCTCCTTCAATAGTAACATTTTGCAAAACTACAGTATAACGACCAGAATACTGATATTGATAACATTCACCAATCTTATTCAGATTTTTCTAGTTTTACTTGTACTCATTGTGTATGTATTAAGTTCTATATAATTTTTTTCACCTGTGAAGGTTTGTATCTCTACCACCACAGTGAAGATAC